CATCATGATCTCCTCATCACATCATCATCATCATGATCTCCTCATCACATCATCATCATGATCTCCTCATCACATCATCATCATCATGATCTCCTCATCACATCATCATCATGATCTCCTCATCACATCATCATCATCATGATCTCCTCATCATATCATCATCATCATGATCTCATCACATCATCATCATTGCTATAAGCACGATACAAAAATAGTGGAGACGGTAGTATTTTAATCAAGTGCTGAACAGATTGAGAGGTTCGGCAAAGGAAGTTATTATTATAATGAAAAGAGCTTGGAAAATAGATTAGGGGAAACAACTCTGTTGTGCCTATTGTATTCGTTTTGGGGTTGTTGTTTTTTTGCTGTTGTTTAACTTAGTGACATCCCCTTACTTGTAATTTCATGCGTCACATATTTTTGCAACTATCTTTAGAATATTAAGATCATGTTGGTTTTCCCGAAAGTCTTAAATATAAATGTGCCGTGCTTATTTCCGGCTTCCGGAGGAAATTCTTGGATTCTCAATTCTCAGTTCTCAGCTTAGGCAATATGGCTGGGACTTCAGCCACTCGACTGCCGTCAGTAAATGGTATGAATTGAATCCCATCTTCTCTTTCTTACTCTTGGCGTAAATTAATAGGTTGTAAATCGAAGTCATTGTTGCCATAATGAAATGTTAATGTATACAATATTACATTTGGATATTCTAAAGGGTTTCCCCTTTCTATCCGTATATCAGTGTTTCCCTAACCTAATAAAATATGGCTATGTAATTCTATCCCTCAGCGGACCCTTATTCAACTAATTCCGAGACTTCAAAATCAAAATTATACTGTCTGGTAAGATTTTCTCCTTCGTTCTTTCCCTTCAATCATATCGATCACCATTATCTCTCCTACTCTCTAGTACTAGTACTAGTTACACCTTGGATCTAATCTTCAACACTAATACTTACTTGACCTAATTATGTTGCAAGTGCCATTTTAAAATCTAATTTTATATGAATTTTACTGAAAAACGTTGATTAAAGGCACAATATACGTCATTTTTCTGTTTTCAAGGACTCGTTAGCTATTAGAGTTACCAGACTTTGGCGGCAATTGTCTTGCTAATTTCACGACTGAAACAAGGCGACCTCAATTAAATTACTTCAATCGCAAATATCTTGAGTTCTATTCAAGATAGATGGATATTTATTTCGTTGGAAGAAAGACAAATAAATAAGCTTTCAGATGATATCAATAACTTCACCTTCCCGAAAATTGATGAGCACCTGATTCCAAAGCGTCGTGACGCATATGGTCATTTTCATGCTGGCTGGGAATCAGGCGCTCGTCAATTTTTGAGCATGTGGAGTAATTTGTTATCATATGAAAGCTTATTCGTTTCTCTTTCTTTCACTGAAAAAAGAATCCATGTATCTTTCGAAAAAGTCAAGATTTTTGCAATTGAAGGAGAAGGGGTCGCTTGGTTTCAGCGGTAAAATTAGCTAGAAAATGGCCACCAAAGTTTGATAAACAATAGCTTGAGAGTCCTTGAAAATTATAGAATTACATACATATTTTGTGCCTTTAAATAACGTTTTTCACATGGAAGTTTGTTTTTATATGAACATGAAAGGTGTTGAGCAAAACGACAAAAATTTGATAAAATTGCCAAACTGGCAGAAAAATGCTTGTTTCTACAATTTCATTATTTTGACGAGTGTCTGATTTCACCATGATGCCTCACTTATTGGGTCCCTCTTACTCTCTCAACAGGAGGTGGATCTAATTATAATAATGTCTAGTGTTGATTGGGTGGTTCGGCGCGAAAAAACTACTAGCCTACATAGAAAAAAGTTAGGAGCTCTTCTGTTGTATGCAGAGGGTGTGAGTTCAATTCTTGAGTGGAGATAGGTTAAAGTAAACGATCTGCCCCTTCTTTCAGCTTGGGTTGACCCTGACAAGCATCAATTACGCCCCCCCCCCCCCCCCGTATGTTTGATGTTAATTCCATTGATGGAGCCGCCAAAATTTACAGTTGATCCGTTAATTAAGACAATTGATAAGCAGGTAGATGATTGGAAGGTGCCAACTGCCACTGGTAGACCCTACTTGCTTTCCCTATGTTGCCTCTCTCATCTTACTTTTTCCCGGCACTTGATCCTTCCTGGAGGTGTCTTCTCCAACTCAGAGGTAGACATGTTAAGACCCTCCATCCTTCACGGTCACGCGCTACCGTTACGTCTACTGCACCCAGGCCAGTCCATGTTTTTATGTTGTCCATCCATGTTACTCTGTCTTCCCCTGGCTCTCCTGCCCCACATCCTTCCTTCAACTTCAAGTACCTCTTTCACAATGGTCTCGTGTCATTTTAAGTGGCCAGAGTATTGTATTATTCTACGTTTTATTTTATTCAGCAGGGTTTGTCTTGTGTTTCCCAACACTAAATGACCATTATTGTCTTGTTGATGGGCTTCGATCTCTTTAATTATTCGTATTTTCAAATACCGGTATTTCTATTTCTATAGATGAATGTGACTGGGAATTTGACCTCAGACTGATATTCAGAAATCAGGCCAGACAGTGTTCGATATATAAGGGAGCTCATGGTCATCTCAAGGTTGAAGAGGTAAGCAAATCTGGTATCCACTTAACAGCAACCCTGATAAGAGCAAAAATCTGTACGTTGACCAAATGCTTTTTTCACATGCCGTTAAACGTAGAAGACGCATCTTTCTGTTTGGCTGCTAATTTTAGTACATGTAATGTGATGTCATCACTTCCTGGGATACCCACAGACTATTTTAAGAAGGCTGTGGAGGTACCGCATGGAATGACGTGTTTTCTGTAACATTTCAGATTTCCTAGATCTAGTACTTGGACATGATGGAAGATTGCTTAGATCTAGATCGTTGATGCTCAGATTAAGAACGCTTGCTTGCTTGAAATTGAAACTCGGTAAAAGCGAAGACAATAGACCGCACAAAAATTGCAGTAAAGACGCTGGAGGATTAGATCTAGGTCTACCCCCCCCCCCTTCCCCCCCTCCTGCATTCTTCATCACTATATATACATTAAAAAAACAAACAAACTACAAATTATACGGCTACAAATTATAATGTATGGGACAAACTGTTGGTCAGTTGGGAGAAGGAGAAGAGAAAAAAACAACTTTCCGAGACCGGGATCGAACCGCTCATAAAATAATTGCGTGACTTCAAATGCAGACGCACTGTGCATTCGGCCATCAGAACTTCCAACAGCGAGAGGCAGATTAAACACCTTTATATAACTTATACACTTCCATCTTTGGTGCCATGCGGTTGGCTATATTTAGATGTAGTCATTTGATCGGAAGGGTATCCTGGTCTGACGTCAAATAAGATGGCCAACTTACCTAAAAATAGTTTGCGTCGTTCTACGTTTCATCGCATGTCTTTTAAAAAATTTACAGCAGTTCCAAGATATACAGATGTTTTGTCTGTGTAATCATTTAAAAAAGGCATTCTACCGAAATTTGACTTCAGATTTATTAACAAGCTTGTCCCAATTTCAGTTTGATTTTTTCACACAAGTAGGGTACGAACAGGATAAGCAAATTTTGTATAAGAAATTGGCGCCAAAATGAAAAAAAAGTCTTTTTTTAGCTTTGCGCAGCATATCCCAACCTCAGCTGGTAATGTGTAACAGAATTTTTCTGATATAATATATACTGGTGCTGTGCGATTTTGAGGAACGAAGTGGCTAGCCGTACTTTTAGTACGGCTAGACTGAGAGTCTAGCCGTACTTAAGTACGGCTAGACTGCCAGTCTAGCCGTACTTAGATCTAGGTTTGGTCCTATCGACTCAAGCCTGTTAAGTACACAGGTCTCATTAGATCTAGATCTAGTAATTATTCAGGTTCAAATACATGCAAGTCAGTAAGGCACCTTTTTGTTTTGTCTGAAATACAAATACTTTAGGCATTGCAAACTAAAAATTTCATTTACAATTCAGCCATCAATATTAAGTACGGCTAGCCTGACAGTCTAGCCGTCCTTAAGTACGGCTAGCCTGGCTGTCTACCCGTACTTAAGTACGTCTAGACTGCCAGTCTAGCCGTACTTATCTTAGGCACTATTAACATTAGAAAACAGGAGGTTTAAAATACATGCACTGTCATTAAGGCACCTGGTTTCGTCTCAAATACAAATACTTTAGGTACTGCACACTAAAAATGTATATTTACAATTCAGTAGGCCTATTTTTTGTTAAATGGTCAGTCTAGCCATCATATTAAGAATAAGTACGGCTAGACTGCGAGTCTAGCCGTACTTAAGTACGGCTAGACTGCCAGTCTAGCCGTCATTAAGTACGGCTAGCCTCTTCCTTTGAGGAAACAAAACTTCATTGAAGCCTCGAAGCGAGAGCTCACTATTTATGCTATTCGAATGCCGCCGTCGGATGTTTTTCTTAAATGATTTGTCCAGCCCTAACTTCCGCTATTTGCAGCGACGTTGAATGTTTTTTCTTATATATTATGGTAAGTCCAGCCCTAACTTCCGCTATTCACAATGCCGTCGAATGTTTTATTTCTTATATTTTATATGATAAGCCCAGCCCGAACTTCCACTATTCAACATTTGCTTACTATTCATAGTGCTGTTGAATGTTTTTTCTGATATATTATGGTAAGTCCATCCCAATGTAGACTCTTTGTCCATCCCTAGCTTCTGCTATATGAAGCGACGTCGAATAATTTTTTCTTCTATATGACAAGTCCAGCCTTAACTTCCGCTATTCAACATTCGTTAACTATTCACAGCACCAGTCACTGAGCATTGGTGTGTTGTTGTCGCAGACAGTGCAATGCGACGACATCTCACTTTACTGTTCATATCGCTTCAAATTTGAAATAGGGGAAGGGGAGCTCAATGCGACAGCTAATTTCTTGGAAAAAAAACAACATTTGATGTGCTTCAAGAGTCAAGAGCCCTTGCTTTCAAGAGCTATCCATAGTGGGATGAGTGAATCTATTGAATAGTAATTATAGTAATGGATACTCATTACAGACATTTTTAAATAACTTTTGTTGGCTCTTCCTATCACTTTGTCTTATAACCATGAAATACAGAGTATTTCTGTAATTATCTCAATGATTTTATTATTTTTAGATATAAATACTTAAATTTTACTATGGTTAGAGAAAAAGGAGACAAAATTCATTATCTGTAAAAAAAATAAAATCACACGGCTTTCAAATGACTCTGCAGTGCTTTGAATAGCTGTGAATAGTGCAAAAATCATGAATCTCAAATAGTAACGTCGAATGGGCACAGCTCTTCTTCACACTCTCTCACCAAGAGCTACCTTCCTTCAAAAGTCTTCAGCTGTTAGTCAGGCGCCACTGAAATTGCAAAGTTTTGGTTTTTATCAGCTTCACTCACTGTGGTCCATAATCCCATGGGCTCATATGATGTCTCTTATTAACTACAATCCAGGATCACTATTCATCTATTTCTTAATGTGATGACGTTTTTCAAAATTTTGTAACCAAATAGCATTTTTATATATTGCTTTTATCTGACAAGTCTACTAATTTTTTCACATTGCTTTCTGTGCCAACTGTGAATTTTAAAAATATATAAATTTGCACTGATTTGCATTTTTTAATTCCATATAGATCTATATACAATCAAAGCTCATTGTACCGCCAACCTTAGGACGAACATAAACTTGACGGTACAGCTAGTCTGGTGATATAGGCTAACAGGATAGCACTGACTGCCATCTTGACTAATAGTAGAGACTGAGGACATAATATTGTTGTCCGTCTTGACTAATCTAGACCTGCCATGCACGATTGCCATGGCCTGGGAAAAATGAGTAGCAACCAATTACATGTGCAGCTCCGGCTGAATTTTACGTAAATTCGAATTGAAAATTCCACCCAGATCAGAAGCTAGGCTATATTATGTGCAAAGGGACCCTATATATATATACGTTTTTTTTTCAGCCTGACACTCGTCAGTCTTCGGACTGTCTTGGACCTTTCATGTAGTATTGTGAATCCTCACAATAATATTATAAAAGCCTTATGGGCACCGGCCGACCTTTCGGTCATTGGGCTGATATTTTGTGCTACCAGATATTTTATTGACAAGCCGAGGTAGTGCAGTTCCTTTGAAGTTTCTCAGGGTGACTTTAAAATTGAATTCCAATAATAAAAAAATCAAACGGGCCGAGATCATAGCATTTTCATAATCAGCGCTAATCAGGAGCAAATCGGCAACGAAATGATGCAATAAATAGGCCGAAGTCACAGAGACGTCTGTTGGAAAGACATTATCAAGCAGCCTCCGAATGAGTGCTGTGAGCTGTGTGTAGTTTGTACCTCTGGAGCCCAAGTCATTGGCGGTATAACGGGGCAAATTTACATTAGCTTAATAGGGACTGTACGACTCAGACTGTTGGCGGATGGCGGTGTAAAGGAGCAAATACTATATATTTATATAGGGGATCCTTTTCATACATTGGCAAACCCTGGGGGTAAGCAGAGCTGGTGGGATAATAGGAAGGATTACAACGAGGTTTGACTGTATCTATATATTTATTTTTGTAACATGGATTCTTATCAAAGTACCAGTATGTCGTACTGTGAGTGATTAAAAAAAAAAAGTATGCACTTTGCCCTCGAATGAAGACGATATAAGGTTGTTCCAATGAGCAAAGAATTTTTTTGAGTATCTTCATCTTACCTTTCTGATGGGAAGTTTATCCTTCTCTGCACAAGTCGGCTTTGACAGTGTCGAAGCAGCTCACCTTTTTAAGTGATCTAAATTGTGTTGATGGGGTGCCATAAAATATCTACATTGCGGAATTCATTTAAACTGAAGGTGGTTAATCTGGAAAAAGAAGAAATCTGACTGAAATAAGAATCCCAGATTCTTTTCTTCGTTATTCAAGCAATTGGTCTAAACCGAAAACGTGGCTAAACCCACGAAACTCTGACGGTCTCACAGGTTTCTGTGTTAGAGGACTCCACTGCATTTACAACTTTACTCTCAGAGCATCACAGAATCCAGTGGCAATGGTCTTCTGGTTCTCATATTAAGGTTGTTGTTATCGTCTTCTGGTTCTCCCGTTAAGGTTGTTATCAACTTCTTGTTCTCATGTTAAGGTTGTTATTGTGGCGTTGGTGGCCTGGCGATTAGGCACCCAGACTCCCAATCGTAAAGTCATGGGTTCGAATCCTGTCAGGGGCTCGACATTGTGTCCTTGGGAGAGGCACTTTACACGAATTTTCCTCATTTCACCCAAGTGGGAAGGGGTACCCAGCTATAGACAGTGAAAGATCTTGTCAATTTGATAATGTTTGAGCACTCTATTATCAGCTGCTTGCTCTGTATGCTTCCCGCGAAGCTGAGAATGTTTCAGAGTGTTCTATGGTCTGCTGGGGTAACAATATAGTGTAAAGTTCATAGACCGTGCTCATGTCGAGCAGGGGTATGTGCTATGCAAATGCTATTTATTATATGTTCAGTATTATTTGTTTCTTGTCTGTCTTATTGCGAAACAAATTTCTCTGTACGATTTAATAAAGTTGCCTCTGTATATTTTCTTCTCTGTTCCAGTTAATAGTCATTTGCCGAAACCTCATTGGGGAAAACTATCTTGGTGATTTGGAAGAAGCAGACACAGCACTATTTCTCTTCTACCCAGGTAAAGAAGGGTAAACAAAATTGATCAAATTTCCTTTGCAAGTGTTGTTGATCTGTCTAATTATCTTCTCACTTAAAATTAAAAAAAAAAGTATCCAATGAAGATTGTGCTATATTCGGTATAAATGAAAATATTGAAGGTTTGAAAATGTAACCTCTTGCATCGTTTGAGACCTGATTATGATTTACTGTTAAAAATAGGTGTACTGGTAATTAGATGTACTGGTAATTAATTATTTACTTTTAAAAATAGATGTCCTGGTAATTCACATTTCATTCAAAAGATAGATGCACTGTAAATTCATGACTTAGGCCTACTTAAAAAAATATATTACTGTAAATTCATTATTTACTTTAAATTCATGATTTACTTAAAAAAATAGATTTAGTGTAAATTCATGGTATACTTAAGGAGACAATAAAAGTAGACCTACTGCAAAGATAGTAAATAACAAAATGGGCCACTCAGCCAAAAAAGTGTCCGCAGGAAGTATGCTCTTTGCTTCAGATGGCGCTGCAGTCTGTTCTGAAGCTCTCTTTCGTTTTTCCAGAAGAAGAATAGGAATAGCACCTCCTTGCGTGCGCAGATCGACTGCTGTTCATCAGTAGTTCGGGTTCGTTCAGTGCGGAGTTTTAGGTTATTTATATTTTAATGACCTCTCGCCTTTCATTCTAAAGTCAAATTAAACGAAGAAAACAATCACCCTTTCCTCCGGAAGAGGTTTTTTGTCAGCGTAACCATTTAAAAAAAGCGTTCTTCCGAAATTCATTCAAAAACTTGCTAGTTTCACTTTAATTTTTTAAAACTCAAGTTGGATAACTCTGTTCGCAAAAGGTGCGCTTTTGCGAAGAGGGCGCCACCGAATTTTGAGGACACTTTTTTAATTGGCTCAAAGAGAGAAGTGGCCCATCTTGTTATGTATTATCATTGCCTTCTGTAAATTCATGATTTGATTTAAGAAATAGTTGCACTGTAAATGTTTGATTTACTTTAGTAAGAACAAAAAATGTACTGTAAATTCATGATTTAATTTTTAAAAAAGATGTACTGTAAATTCATGATTTACTTTAAAAAATAGATATGCGGACCTGCCAAGCAGTTCAATAAAATTAGAGCCCGTTGATTATTTTTCTTGAATTCAGTGTCCATTGGTCATAAGTGACTTTATATGGTAAATGACGTATACATACATAGTTTAATCAGTGTTTTTTTTTAAGCCTTTAGGCGACTTATTGACTATAACGTGAAAATACAGATTTTTCTTTGCCTGTATTTACAACGCACGCTATTTGCCACACTTGGTCCGTTACATAATTTTCAAGCTCTGGGGTTCTGAAGACTGATTTTTGTCCCCAAACTCCAGTTTTAAGAAGGATTCCCTTGACAACTTTTTTGTTCATGGAGAGGTTGGCAGGTCTGATATTGATAAATTTATATGTAATATATATGAGGCTTCACGATGAAATCAGGCACTCGTCAAAATCGATTGAAAAACATATATTTTCCTGCCCATCTGTCAATTTGTATTTAGTTTTTAAAAAGTTTAACACATTTTAAGTCCATATGAAAACACATTTTTGTGTGGATTTTACTGAAAAATATTAATGGAAGGCACAAAAAAATGTACAATGGCTATTCCAAGGACTCTCAAGCTTTGGAAATCACCAAACTTTGACGGTCGTTTTCTCACTAATTTTTACCTTTGACTCCAGGCGACCACCGCCTCCATAGTCAAAACAAATATCACGACTTCTATTCAAGATAGATGGGTATATTTTCCATCAAAACCAAGACATTTAATGAACCAGCTTTAAGATTATACCAATAACTCCTTGTACTAAAAAAATTGACGAGCGCCTGCTTCCGCCACGTCATGACAAATGTTTAGTATTCTCTGCCTAAGAAAACACTGCTCAAAATAAACAATATCATAAGCAATCATTTACAGATGGTTCCGTGAAGAAGATGGAAAGACATAAGTTACTGAGAGATTGCCTACAGTCCATTGGAGGTGCTGATTACATTTCGATGGAACACAGAGAGTAAGTATTTCTATTTGAATTTTTTTTTTTCCCCCTGGGGGACTTGTTGTTGTTTCTTCCTGTTTTTTTTCCATTCCCCCTCCCCTTTTTTCCCTCTTTACCTCCCCTTTTTTCTCTCTTTACCTCCCCTTTTTCCCTCTTTACCTCCCCTTTTTTCCTCTTTACCTCCCCTTTTTCCCCTCTTTACCTCCCCTTTTTTCCTCTTTACCTCCCCTTTTTTTCCTCTTTACCTCCCCTTTTTTTCCTGTTTACCTCCCCTTTTTTTCCTCTTTACCTCCCCTTTTTTCCCTCTTTACCTCCCCTTTTTTCCTCTTTACCTCCCCTTTTTCCCCTCTTTACCTCCCCTTTTTTCCTCTTTACCTCCCCTTTTTTTCCTCTTTACCTCCCCTTTTTTCCCTGTTTACCTCCCCTTTTTTTCCTCTTTACCTCCCCTTTTTTCCCTCTTTACCTCCCCTTTTTTCCCTCTTTACCTCCCCTTTTTTAAGCCTTTTTTTTTCTTCTC